ATCAGTGGGGGAAAAACTTCCTTCTCCATAGCGTCGCAGAAGGTTTTGAGGGCTTCAGCAGCTCTTTTCTCATACTCCTCACCCTTCTGCTGCTTCTCTTCAGCTGCTGCTTGCTTCAGCTTAGCAAGCTTTAATTCCTCTTCAGCCACCTTCTTGTCGTGCACAGCAGCGTCTACCCTATCTTGTAGGGTATCTATCAGCTCTACAGTGAGAGTCTGATTGTGCACGAACTGAAAACAGGAAGACAAAAAAAAAATAATAAATAAAAAAAAATATATAGAGCTGAATTTCAGAGGAAATGAAGACAAGGAAAATTACCTGCATCATCAGCAGTTGGTTAGACCTGGCTGGGTCAGGAACTGATCTGCTGGATTCGCCCATCCCAGCAGTGGCCTTCAGCGACCAGATCCTTGCCCTATCTACTTCTGACATGCCAGCAAAATCGCCGAAGTAGGCTGCAGCTCCTTCTCGGTTCTGACCCCATATGAGGTCCCAGATGTGGTCTGGGATTGGAATTCGGGGGGCTGAGAAACCCATTTCTCCAGATTGCAGAGTCTGGAAAGAAGGGAAGGATGACGATGGAGCTTGATTAGCTTTGGATGGCTCAGCATCATCCTTCTCAGAGGAGTCAATTACTATGACCTCCTCTTCTTCAGGGGTGAGGACGAAAGCCTCAACCTCTCTTGCGATGTCTGCCGTGAAGCCCTCAGCACTGGACATCACGGCACCCTTGTTTTCGTGCTCAGCAGCACTCTCCTTAATTTCTTCTTGGACCCCTCCCTTAGATTCGGGAGTTCTCTGATCCACCTCCATCTCAGGAGGTGGCGGAGGGGTCTTTTGAGGTGATTGGGGTGGTGGCCGGGGAACCCTCGGTGATCCATTGCCTTCCTCGGGTTCCCTTATTGCAACGCCGATGGTCATCGGCCTCCTCTGAAAGTCATGAGGGCCGATGATGGCCATCCTTCGGCGCCTTTTCAGAAGGGGCTGCTCGTCCATACCTGAGTCTGAAGACTCTCCTTGTATTTGGTCTTCGGGACGAGCAGGAGCTTTCCCTTCTCTGTGTCTGTTACTCTCTTCAGACTGTAACAGACAGGGGGGAGGAAGAATGTGAGTAAAAAAAAAAAAAAAAAAAATAAAGAAGAAGAAAAGAAAAAAGAAAAAGTTAAGTCTGAAAGCTCACCGAGGTCTTCAGCAAAGCCTCGTCTTCTTCAGCTGCTTTAGCTGCAGCTTCTGCTTCAGCAGCTCTGGAGGACCCTTCTCCTCCTTCGCAAGCTTCGAGAACCCGTGCAACCTCTTCGGCTGTGCGGGCAGCTTCAGCTTCTTCGTCCAGCAGCTGAAACCAGGGGTCTCTCTTCTTCCACCAAGGCTTCTGCCTCTGATACAGAGCAACAGCCTCAATTTGGAAGTGGGAAGAGTCTAGATGAACTTCCCTATGCCTCGGCTCAGTGATAGACGGGGCCCGTTCAGTTACAACTCGTTCTCGGTTGACACCAAGACGAGCGTAGTTAATGCCAACGTTGGTCTCGTCCCGCTCTGAAAAAAGGAAAGGGGAAAGGTTAGCTCAGATAGGTTGGCACAGCATAAAAAAGCGAAGCGAGAGAAGAAAAAGAGATAGTTAAAAAGCCTCGGCCCCAGCCGAAGAAGCTTACCATCCTTAAACTTTCGGCTGAGGCCAACACCTGCTAGCATGTTCTCTTGGAAAACGTAATGCGTATCTGGGAGCCAAGTCTCCGGGATATGCTGCATTCGGCCACTGCCCCCCCGGTTCGGCAGCTTGCCGAAGATATGTTGCTGATCCAGGTTCGGATCCGCCCCGTTATCTGCGGGGGGACCTAGACTTCCCATTTCGGGATCAGGCTCAGCGAGGTACCGGGGAGCGCTGAAGACGCAAGGGTGGCCCGGATCTGTGGGTGCCCTAACCCAAATCCATTGACCTCTCCAGTCCTTGTCTGAAGAGTCGTTTGGCCACATGGTTAGGTATTGGGGCCGGGACTCAATCCGGTACCACCCAGAACCATGGCTTCCGTGCCCACTTTGAATATTTGGCACTAGCCGATGGAGCTTTTTGAAGCAGTGCAGGTTCGGCACGTACTTGAAGAACTTGCAAACCCATAAGTATGTCATCACCCTTCGGATGCTGGTGGGAGTTAACTGACATAGAGAGATGTTGTAATGGATCAGCAAGTCTCGGACGAATACGTCCAAAGGGAACCTCAGCCCGTACTGAAGCTGTCTTGTGTACACCCCCACATACCCCGGGGGTGGACGATGGATTCTATCGGAGGCCGAGGGCATTCGGCACCAATACCCATCAGCTTCAAAAATGCCGTAATGCAACTCAATTTGCTCGGCAAATCGATATTGATCGGCATTCTCCACCCACCATGGGCAGGGGCGGTTCTTTATCATGGCCGAAGCAACTTCGGCATTCTCCCATTCTGAAAACCCGGGGAGGATATCCCAAAGGACAGCGGGAACTTCATCATCCCGTCCAGAAGCGCTCGGCTCCTCCGTTCTCTGAGGAGGAGCCGAGGAAAGAGGAGTCGCCCTAATCCCTTCAGCAGGGTCAGACTCTGGCCTTTGTCCATTCCAGGTCCCAATCCTGTTCCTAGGATCGGGAATCGGCCTTGCTCTTCTTGGAGCACGGGCTCTACCTCTAACTCCTCTTGCCATTGATTATTTCGAAGAAAAAAGTCGAAAGAAAAGGGGAAGGAGTTCGAATTCGAAGAAAAATAAACTGAAATCAAAGGAATTTACCTTAATCTGAAGCGAAAGTTGCCGGTTTACGAGTTCGTAGTGGCAAGTCTCAGTTTCTAAGCTTAATGCTCGGGGAATTTGCGAAGTTTTGATGCGGGTTCTTGGTTTCTCTCTCGAGAATTCTGGGTTTGTGTTGGTGAATAAGTGAGGAGAGATGACGCGCCTCTGTTTATATCTCCAGGTACGGGATACGAGGAGTCTGCGTTTTAATTTCTCTTAAATACTCCACTAAGTAACCGTTAAACACATGATCTTGTGATTAAACTGCCCATTATCCGTCCAACTTCCACAATCATTAATCGTTGTTATCTCATTAATTACGGTTTAAATTCAAATTTTTGGATTAATTAAATCATTTACTTCCCTCCTTTTCTGAATTAAATCAAACCCGACCCGTCATCCTTCCAAATCGGGTCTGGGGGGCAAGTTGTTTGGGTCCAATTTAGTCCAATTGGGCCTAAGCACTAAATGATCCAATTAAAAGCCCAAGGTCAAGGTTTAACTCTCCAATTGTGCTAAAGTCAAAGGTCAGCCCACAAAGCAAGCCAATTGGGCTAAGGCCCAACCTCTCCATGTATAATGAGGTATAAAGCATCATATTGATAGATTCAAGGGGAGATTGATCCTGATTCATTCATAGATTCATATGTTCATTCATATATTCTGATATATTCCATAAAAGCCTCAAGCAACAAACTCTCTTGCATAGTGTCTTCTTCTTACACATTGTACTGACTTTAGCATCGGAGGGGCCTTCCTCGGCAACACCCCCGAGGCTAGTTTACGTGTGTTTACTGTGCAGGAAATCTTCGGCCCAACATAACTTGGACCGAATCCAGCCTTCTCCATTTCAGCGGACCTTCGGCAAGGTCCCATTGTTTTCACCCGAAACAGCTTTAATACAGATTTTGTGATTAAATTTTGGCATATACTTTTACTCAGACATTGCTTGCACTCCATTGTAGAATGCTTTACACGTTTTCAGCTTCACAAGAAGCCAATTTCGATTTCTTCCTCCTACATCCGATCCATATGCACCTAAATACCACTAATCCTTGGATGATAACAATTGTACGATATCAACAATGTATTTCAATACCATGGGCTTTACTTGCGTCCCTTTTCCTAGTATATAAGCAAAATTACACAACAGCAGTAGTCTATGACATTTTCGACGAAACGAGGTTGTCTTCAAGGCTATTCATGATCCATTTATAAGCTATTTGTCCAAGTAAGTCTCATTATATTGGGTTTTATAAATTATCATATATATTCATCAATAATAAGTTAAGTTGTGTTACATATCTGAGATTGATTATAACATGTATGTAAGATCTTCATGCTATTACGTACGAATCAGAGTAGTAGTAAGTATTATCGAGTACATACTTGCATCCTTTTTAACAAGAATGGTATGTTTAGAAAATGTAATCTCATACAAATTATAATATAAAAAATGTCATTTGTTTACCACCTCTAAAGCAAATCATACAAAGTATGGTTTAATGAATGTTTGAAAAAATTTGTCATCTTGAATTATTATTGATTTGTTGATGTGGAAGTAAAGTTGTAATAAATCTTTTTTGAAATTGAATGATAAAATATGGGAGTTATTTGTTAAGCTAAGGTTTATAACCAAAATTATGTAGTCACATGTTTAGGTTAGAGGTTAGAAAAAGAATTTTCAATACTAATACCATGCTTATATGAAGAAATTTATTTGAGTATAAACTAAGAACCCAACACAACCCAACCTAATTTGATATGGTTTGTTTAACCAGTCCTAGAATTTATTAACAGATCTGATGATAAGTTTTCAGCCTTAAGCCTAATTTCGCAATCGATTAGTGTTGGCTATTGGGTTCCTCCTAGGATTTTTTATCCAAACTAAGCCTTATTACCAAAGTATTTTACAAAGTGGACTCGTGGCAAAAGTATTTACCAAAAAAATATTCAACGAGTTTAAAAAATAATAATAATAATTTTTAAAAAAAAAAAAAAAAAAAAAAAAAAAAAAAAAAATTGGACCATTGGGCCTATTGGAAGCTTTTGATATTAGTGGGCCTAGGGCTAATATGTAAGACGTCGTTTTTTGATTGGGTAATTAGGAGTAGTAGTCAAAAGAGCTTATCACCAATTGGAATTTGCACTCAAAGTTGACCAAACAAACCATTTACCTTTTTTCAATTAAGTTAGAATAAAAATAAATAAATAACTTTGCATCATCAGAATTGTATTTTTTTTTTTTTTTTTTTTGACGGACACAATTGTATTAAAGTTATAACAAACCATAACAATATTTACTTTTATCTTGTCATTTTCTCAAATTGCTAAAGTTCATTCAGCTAATTATAGTACTATTTTTAAAACAGATTGCTTATTTTTTTATCAATATAATTATAGCAAATCCAAAAAGTACCCATATCTGATGACTATGATGATATGGTGACTCTTGTTGTATCTCGATTATTATTGTTTCTGTGAAAATAAGCTTGAAATGAGGGCCAATTCTTGAAATTTGTGACTAAATAGTTCATACAGTAGTTGTTACCAATTGTATTAGACAACTATTTATAAATTCACTTTGTTTTCAGGAAGAGTTATTCAGTATTGGTCTTTCCGTTCTCCAAAACTAGATATATTGATCGTAGAGGAAGGGAGCAGCCAAATAGGCATATGGCAAGGTCTAAGGTGTCGCAACTCGCCTGCTCGACACTAGCAGTAGTGGTACTGCTAGTGTTGTGCATGACGGTCGTAGGAGCAACTGCATCAGAACACAAAAATGATGAAATGATAGGGTATGGATACGAGGTTAAGTATGCAAAGGTTGATGATACTGCTGGAAAATCATTGAGTGCTTTGTTGCAGCTTATCAGAAGTTCCTCTGTTTATGGCCCTGATGTTAAGTTACTTGGCCTCACTGCTAGGTACTCAGACCTATTTTTTCTGCTCTTTTCTATTAATCTATTGCATTTATCATAAAATAGAGCCACTTTTCTTCTAGGAAATTAAAATGCAACACTCCTAATTTTTAATCAGTAAGAGCGAAAATAACAAAAACGGAGTAACACTAAAGTCATTGTTAGTATGCATATGTGAAATTCTTCTTTACAATATGCACTAAAACATACGTAGCACTCATGTATTCGATTGATTAATTACTTGATTCCTTCTATATTCATTATATTAGTATTAGTATTAGTAGTAATATTAATACACTTTTAATTTCACAACAATATAATTCCCTATATTAGCTTGTTCTAATTACTAGCTAAGCTAACCTCTCAAACACCATGCAGCTTAGAGGAGGATGACACCTTGAGGATCCGAATCACTGACGCAAACAACCATAGATGGGAGATCCCCAACGACGTCCTCCCACGTCCCCCTCCAATATCTCCACCACCATTTTCCACCCTTCAACACCAAAACCAATCCAACATAACAGTCCTCTCCCACCCTCACTCAGACCTTACCTTCACTCTTTCCCACTCCTCCCCTTCGGCTTTTCAATCTCCCGTAAATCCAACCACGACATCCTCTTCGACACCACTCCTATCCAATCCAATCCCAACACCTACTTCGTCTTCAAGGATCAGTACCTCCAACTCTCCTCCTCCCTCCCAGCCCAACAGGCTCACCTCTATGGTCTAGGGGAGCACTCTAAGCATGACTTTCAGCTGGCTCATAGCCAGACCCTCACTCTCTGGAATGCTGACATTGCTAGCTTCAATAGGGACCTTAACTTGTATGGGTCTCACCCATTTTATATGGATGTTCGGTCTTCACCGGCAGTAGGTTCCACTCATGGAGTGTTCCTGATGAATAGCAATGGAATGGATGTTGAGTACACTGGTGATAGAATCACTTACAAGGTGATTGGAGGTATTATTGACCTTTATGTCTTTGCTGGACCAACACCAGCCGCGGTTGTGGATCAGTACACTAAACTCATCGGCCGTCCAGCTCCAATGCCTTATTGGGCTTTCGGTAATCCATTCACCCATCCAAATTCTTGCTTATTCTTGTAAATTACGTCATCTGTAATGGAAGGTTTGCTATGATATTTGATAATGTGACTTTATAATCTTCTAAACTCTACTTTGTTTCTGAGTTCTGACAACAGCAAATGAATTGAAGGAAACTAAGCATACATATTTGCAATCTTCTCCATTTCAGGTTTTCACCAATGCCGGTGGGGTTATCATGATGTAAACGAGATCAATTCCGTGGTTGATAAGTATGCAGAAGCTAAGATCCCTTTGGATGTAATGTGGACTGATATTGATTACATGGACGCCTTTAAAGATTTTACGCTAGATCCTGTAAACTTTCCTCAGGGCAAGATGCAGCAATTTGTTAGTAAACTCCACAAGAACGGCCAAAGATATGTTCCAATCTTGGATCCTGGTAATTCAACTGACAAACTCAGCACTTCAGCAGACTGATTTTATCAGAATCTGTGTTGTCTGAAATTTTACAGGTCTTCCACAAGTTCCTAATCTGCTAGGTTTTGTTCTGTTTTTCATGACAGGGATCAATACAAATAAGTCATACGGAACTCTCATCAGAGGGATGCAAGCTGATGTCTTCATCAAGCGCGATGGTAAGCCTTACCTAGGTACTGTTTGGCCAGGACCAGTTTACTTCCCTGATTTTCTGAATCCTGCTGCAAAAAATTTCTGGATTGATGAGATTAAGAGGTTTCGAGATATTATTCCCTTCGATGGCATCTGGATTGACATGAATGAAGCGTCGAATTTTATAACTTCTGCACCAACCCCTGGGTCTTCCCTTGATGATCCACCATATAAGATCAATAATTCTGGAGGTCGTGTACCCATTATAAGCAAGACTATTCCAGCAACAGCTATGCATTATGGTAATGTTACGGACTATAATGTTCATAACCTCTATGGTTTTCTTGAATCTCAAGCCACTCGTGAAGCACTCGTTAGAACCAGCAAGGAAAGGCCATTTTTACTTTCGAGGTCAACGTTTGCTGGCTCTGGGAAGTATACTGCACACTGGACTGGAGATAATGCTGCGAGATGGGATGATTTGCGGTATTCAATTCCAACTATGTTGAGCTTTGGACTATTTGGGATGCCAATGATTGGAGCAGATATATGTGGTTTTGCTGAAAATACAACAGAAGAGCTTTGTCGTCGATGGATACAGGTATATCACTGGTACTTTGGATCTTCAGAGTATGTCAGAGATTTTGTTCTTTTTACTTTCAATAATTAAGTTCACATAAGGGCTAGGAAGTTCGGATAAGGGCTAGACGGCTATTAAGACCAGATAATGGGTTTTAATGAAGGAATGAAGCTAGTATTCTGCATTGTATTCTTACCTTCATATTGTAGTATTAGCCTACTAGGTTACTTATAAGGAGTGTTTGTTTAAATGCAGCTGGGAGCCTTCTATCCCTTTTCGAGGGATCATTCAACTCGTGATTCTTCTTATCAGGAGCTCTATAGATGGGAATCAGTTGCCACTACAGCAAGGAAAGTATTGGGACTCCGCTACCAGCTCCTCCCCTACTTCTACACATTGATGTATGAGGCCAACTTGAGAGGCACCCCAATCGCGCGACCTCTGTTCTTTACCTTTCCAGAGGACGTCGCAACTTATGGAATTAGCTCACAGTTCCTCATCGGAAGAGGAATCATGGTTTCGCCTGTTCTAGAACCTGGAGCAGTATCTGTTAATGCATATTTCCCAAGAGGAAACTGGTTCAATCTTTTCAACTACACTTCTTCAGTGAGTGTATCATCAGGAAGCAATATTAATCTCAGTGCACCTCCTAACGATATCAATGTTCATATCCATGAAGGTATGACTGAAACTCAAGACCAGTATGAATCCCCCAACTGTTAACACGGTCTGAAGAGTTCCATATGTGACTGAGTAGGTCGAGTCAAGTTTGAATAGATCAATCTAATTTTCAAGTTTAAAATGTCCTTTTGTACCAACTTCAGTGTTTTCGAGATCATCATATAAATTTGTGGGGGTTAGGGACTTTGGGACAGGTTGATCAGATTTTCCTCTATCTAACCTATTTTCCTTGTGATCTACTTATATCAGGTAATATTGTGGCTATGCAAGGAGAAGCCATGACAACTCAAGCTGCACGGAGCACACCGTTCCATCTCCTGGTAGTTATGAGCGATCATGCAGCCAGCACCGGGGACCTTTTCTTAGATGACGGGGTTGAATTGAATATGGGAGGCGAGAGTGAAAGATGGAGCTTGGTGAGCTTTTTAGCAGAATCAGGGACAAACAATGGCACAATCTCATCCCATGTTGTGCATAGTGGATATGCAATGAGCCAGAGATTGGTCTTGGATAAAATAACCATTCTAGGTCTCAAAAGAAGAGTTAAGGTAAAGGAATACACAGTACAGATGGGTGCTGGAGTATCAAAGAAAAACAAGGGGTTACGACTAAGATCGAGTTCCGACAATCAGGGGGGTTTTGTTGTCTCGGAAATTTCTGATCTGAGGATGCCCATAGGACAAGACTTCAGATTGGAGTTAGAGTATGAAGGAACAAAAGGATATAGGAAACCTACTTAGGTTCACTGCATGTTTAAATAAAATAGAATACCATGCATTATGAATTTGTGATCACTGATCAGCAATGATATCAATAACTCAAATTTAGCTGAAGATACAATCTACTAGTCATTAATTTGGCAAATCGCTCAATTCCAACAATATTCTATATCAACAAAACAAAAAATGAGCAATTTTAGGCTAGAAAATCCACAAATTCAAAAAGAAAAGGGATTTCAATACACAAGAATGAGAGAGAAATATACGAGCATATAATTGGGAAGGACAAGAAGAATAAGCTTCAAAAAGAAAACAAGGACAAAAAGAATAATATTAGAAAGTATTTTTTTATTCAGCCAGATTCCCAGGTTGTTAAATGGATAATTTTATTTTTTTTCCTAGCTTATCCTTTTCTTCATTTTTATTTATTTTTTAATCCAGCCCATCCTTACACACCTAGCTCAACTTGGGTCACTTGCCAGTTGCCACTGTCCACTATCACCCCTCTCTTAGCATAATCAAATTTGAAAGGGTGCAGTTTTGAAGTAGCTGCTGCAGGCGTCTATGTTGCACCAGCTTAAATTAGGCCACTAACTCGGACTAGACAAAACCTTAACATATTGCCCTGATCGCAGCAACATTCCCCTGCCCTCCACCAACCCACCCCCACCCGAGAGCCACGTCTGCCTGCGAAAACCTTAATGTCCTTTATCCCCTCTCGATTCAAATTATCTAACCTTCTCATTTTCATAATATACATGTTAGTCAAAAAAAAAAAAAAAAAAGCAATTATGCACCATATTGTGATTTTTGCATATTAATGTAGATTAATTTTTGATAGGTTCTTTTAACCTTAAGACACTAATATGAGAATAGCTAATTTGGCAAACTTGCAAATTCATACAAGTACGCCGAGCGTTGGACAATTAAAGAATCAGTAAGAGCGACATACTGGTATCCTTGCAGCAATTTCTTATTAGCATAGATGGAATTCAGCACTTGTACTGTTGTACATGCCAACAGACCCAAGGGATGGAATAAGTTGAAGGGAGCAGTGAAGCGCAAAGGCCAAAACCTCGTAAATTAGTCGAATATTCAGAACAAAACTTTGGTATCTACCCCTACCATTCTGACACTCATTACATAAGTTGCAGAAAAACAGCATAGTGAAGCAAACTTTGAAACAAGCAGGAAGAAGAAACAGAAAGTTGATATTCCTGAAACCCCATTTCCACCCACATTTCCTGATCCTACCAACAATGCACTGCTACAAGCATCAAAGAGTTTAGTACCGACCAAGCAAGATAAAATCATCATCATCAAGGACCTGGACATCTTTGTCACCAACAAAGTTCTCTCGCCCAATTTCCTTCACTATACGAACAAATTCAATTCTCTTTTCCAGCGGAAGAGGTACATAGGGAAGGCGGAATACTGGCCTTGCTACTCCAAGTTGAGCTAAAGCTGTATTCAAGCCAATAGGGTTTGGCTCCTGAAAAAGCCACTCGATTAAAGGCATAAGCTTGGCATTAAGAGATGAATTCTTCCCTTTGAACATGAGTTGCCCAATTAAGCCAGGAATTAAGTTACTAGTAACAGATATAACTCCAGTAGCCCCAAATAACCACCGAGAATCATGGCACTGATCATCATTTCCACTCCAAACCACAATATTGTTATCTGTGTATTGCTTAATTCTTTCGGGGCCTACACATTCTTTAACACCAGCAAAGTTAGTACTCTGTGCTAGAGAATGCATCACCTGAGGAGGAATATCTTGACTTGTTCTAGATGGTACGTTGTATACAATGGCTGGCCCCATAGAGAGCACACTTTCAAAATGAGCAATCATACCCTCCTTGGAAGTCTTGCCATAGTAAGGATTGATGTGAAGTGCAGCGTGCATTCCAACAGCAAACCCCTGTTCAGTAGCATGTATTGCTTCTCGCGTTGAGTTGCTGCCAGTGTTCCCTATCACTTTGATCCTACTGCCAAAACAGTTGACAGTATGACCAATAAGCATAATGTGCTCATCCCAGCTCATTAACTGCCCTTCACCGGTTGTACCACCAACAATAACAGCTTCAGCACCCCCATTGATCTGCATGTTCACTAATGCATCATAAGCCTCAAGATCAAATCTTCCATCTGGTAGATATGGGGTTTTAATGGCAGTAATGAGTCTCAAGGCCTTAATGTCATCCACATTTGTCCTGAAATTAAAACCAAGCTTAACATTATAATACATCTACACTACAGCAGCTATCCAAAAGTTTGATTGTAGTTCACAATGGTAAAAAAGGAAGGAGTATGAAAATGCTGTAACTATAATCATTTACTTCTTTAAATACAAAATGACACAATAACCTCAAAGCTTACTAAAAATACACATTGTTTCTCTTTCTTTTCTTTTTCTTTTTTAAGATAAAATTATCCTCATCATTCATCAGAACATGCAGCATAGATTAAATAATATTGTCCTCATCATTCATCAGCACATAGAGCAAAGATTAAGTTTATGGTTTATCTTCATGTTTGTATCTCACTAAAATCTAGCCTCACTGAAACATATATATCTAGCCCAAATCCTATGAAGTTCTGATTCTTTACCAAATAACAAGAACATTATTCAGCATATACGAAAGTCAATTTAATTTGCAAAGTAAACTAAGCTGATACGGGGCATCCACTGAAGCACGTAAATTAAGACAGGAGGAGACTAATGGACATGTAGAGCTAGAACAGTTGGTCATGCCAGAGTTCATTAGTCAATTGCCTATTGAACTCAATAATACACAACAGCAATTGGCTTATTGCCTATTGAAATCAATAATACAGAACAGCAATTGGCTTTCCTGGTGTCCTATGATCTGAAGATAGCCAGCTCTTACTTCAGCAAATTAAAAGATCATCTTATTATCTACACGACAACAAGAGCTACATCACAATAACCCAAATCGAAAACATTCTTCTCAGGAGAAATGAATGACTCAACTGCAAGGATTACATAGTTCCGCCTAATGGGTACTACTGTACTAGTCAACTTATTACAAGAATCTAGTAATTAACATGGTGGGAAAGAGTAGGATAAATATTACTTAAATCCTACTTTCGACTCTTCTTATCTGTTTCAGCCCATCACTGCTTATCAAGCAGGTACAGAGTTCATTTTCCTCCTTTGAAAATCAATCCCCCATCACCTCAGCCAAAAACGATAAAACTACAGTACAACTAATTTAAATAACATCCAGGCCACATTGTCATCAGAAACTAGCTAGCTAGCAGTCTGGTACACTATTTACCATAATCAGACACCTTAAAGTAACGGTAAAAATGTCAAATGTGAAATGAACATCAACCATCTCTCAAATTATCTGCCTCTAGTTCTTAAAGTATGTTGCTTAGCAACAAGCTATAAGTACTTTTGAAAAGACAGACAAGAAAATACATCTTAATTGATTAAAACAAAAGCCCTGTGAATTTCACTACTTAGACCTTGCAACGATACACAAGGACTGCTGTACAATCATTATGTGTGAAACCAAATTTGCCCAGCATACTTGGGACATGTTCTGGGTGTACCATAAGCTCCAAAACATTTCATACCTGACTGACTTCTTCAAAACAGAGGGAGGTAGGTATTAGAGTTAAGTTGTGCCTTGCTGACAGCTTGAATAAAGATGTACATGTAATCAAAACTCTGAAAATTTTAAAAAGACTAACTGACAAGACATATCCCTTAGAACTAAGAATGATATATTACCTGTTCTTAACTTCATAACTACGCATAGGAAGATGGAAATTAGCAACTGCAGCAGCTTGTGGGGACCTCCACCTAAAATACACTCTGCAAGAAAAAAATAAGACAAACAGTTGAATGATGAACAAACATTTTATTACAAGTAGGGAGGAAAAAAAGTATTCTAGAGCACAGCAATATTGGGCTCATATCGTAAAAATACCAAACATAAAATGGTAAGGTCCCAATCTACACACTATAAAGACCTAAATTGGAATTCTTATCACCTTGGATTTATATAGTTCCATGTTTCATGTATTCGACACATTTTAGTCAATGTAAAGGTAAAAGAAATCTCTATTCTCAAACAAGCTAAAAAGCCCCTCACAATTTCCACATAAAAATTATAATTCCTGGAAACACATGGGCTGTATAAATTAAAATCTACACTCCCGAGGTTTAGAGCTCAGAGATCGCAAGGGACCCATTCCTAGCACCAACGACAAGTCTCGCCTGAGCTATAGTAGAAATCTTGAGGATATTTAGTAACCTCCAATGACAACTGCATTCAAAGGACCATCTAGAAATAAGCCACCAAAACAAAATCTCCCATATGAACCCATTATTGAAGGCTATAAATCATGCTCTTGACATGTTTCCATATCACTTGCTAAATGTCCCGTCATTCTCATCCCCGATGGCCACCAAAAACCATAATCTTACCCAAAAAAAATTGGGGAATGTCCCTCATGCTCTGAATTTCCTAAAGGCCTAAGGTCCATATTGATCATCAATACAAAACATGATACCTAACCCAAAAATGGCAAAAGGAACCCCCAGCTTCAAGTTCATAAATCACCGCGCCCTAGCTAATAGCAATCGAAACTCCGAAAGTAAGCCTACCGTAGTCTATCACCAGCCACCAGCATATATCTACGATACAAAATTCCTAATCACTTCCAAGGACACCAATAGTTTAATAAGTAAACGATAAACAAAAATTACTGATAGAGAAAACAAACACCACCTTAAACCTCAAACAACAAACATCAAATTCAACGTATAGCAATTAACATTACTTGTCAACATTATAGCTAAAACTCGAAATAATTTTACAAAGGTACCTGTTATAAGCATATGGAGAAGCAGGGCGAGGACGGCTGAAAGTAATGGAATCCTTCAAGCACAATTTGTGACTCGTTAAAGTAGACATTTCGCTACCAAATAGCTCAAATCCAAAAAATTACACTAAACCCTAACCCTGAAGATTGAAAATCGAGCGAAAATTAATCAATTAGGTACCAAAAAATCAAATTAGAATTACAAATATCAAAATGGTGGCAATTTAATGGATAGTATGAAATTAGGGTTTTGGAATATGAGAGAGATTGAGCTTGTTACCTAGA